AAATTAAAATAATAATAATAATAATAATAATAATAATAATAATAATAATAATAATAATAATAATAATAATAATAATAATAATAATAATAGGGAAAAAGATCTGTTGTTTAATAAAGAAATAACAGGCAACCTAATAACAAGAAAAATGTCTGCAAGAACTATGAAAGATGTCAGAAGCTAGTCTACTGTTCTAAAATGATCATGTGAAAAATCCTGCTAAGAGTATGAATATTATAAGCAGTAATGAAAAGCCTTCATTCATGGTTTGCTTTCTTTTCACAGGTATCAATCAACACTGCAGGTAAGTTGCCTTTGGCTGATTCATAAAATCTGTCGAGTCCTACTGTGGTGGTGTGAATAAAGGCAGCAATCTAAATAAGGGACACTTAGAGGAAGTATTTCATGCCATGTTTTCTCCCTGTAAAAACTGTATTTAGTGATTATCTGGTTAACCAGTGTTTTTCTATTTCTTTATTAGAATGAGGCATTGTATCTGCAGCTTCTTCACATAGTCTTTAAGGAGGAGGCCGAACCTAGTGATGTCTTTATTCTGTCACTTCTTATTATGTAAAGTTTACTAAGTTCAGTGCTAATTCACTTGTGAAACATTTAAATTTTCTCAAAATTAATTCAAAACTGAAATGTGGATTGCTCATACTACCCAGGACATGTGATTCTTCTTGTTTTTTTTCTTTTAAATAGTTTGAATATAAAATTCCATTACATTTGAAGAGATGAAATTAATGACATGGATTGTACATCATAATAATACTTAGCAAGTCCTACAGGGTGTATTCACTTTTCTTTTCTAAACTTCTTTGTCATTGGATTTGGAGATGGGGGATGAAATCTGTATTAAGGAATGAGAAGGAATTACCAAAGCAGTGAAATTATATTGGGACTGAATGTGATTAAAAAAATATACTAATTTATTTGCAAATGCAGTTCTGGATATGATAATGTTAATATTAACCACAGTTTATTTCTTTCTCTTTTTAGAGGAATATCAAGAGGCTGTTAAGGTAATGGATTAGATTAGCTTTGGAGGCTTATTTTTATAGCAGTACAAATCAAGTCTTGTGGATTTCTTAATGTGTCAGAGATTTTATTCTATTTTATCTCAGTTAATAAATCATTTAAACTAGCCCATACTGGTCCAGTTCCAAGTTATTGAAGTTCTTTTTAATCAATACTGTTTGTCTATTTTGCAGTAAAGACAATAGCAAATTACTTCTGTATTACCTTCCTCTTCAGTTGGGTCAGAAATCATCTAAGAGCTTCAGTTTTTATGTTTATTTCTCTACATTCTTATGGTTGTTCTGTTAGTCTCTATATTAGCTTTAAGCATTTAGTCTTTCTTTTTTGTTTTGCAACATTTCTGATTTTTAATACAAGTCTTACCTGTGTGATTGTATCCTTGTAACTTACTTTCTGTGAAAGATTATTCTTAGTATTTCTATTGTCAAAGGTTTGATTCCAAACTTTAGATTTAGATTCTCTTCTTTGGTCTAATTCCTAAATATCTGTCTGGTTGTGAAGGGCACAGATAGAGAAGTGGCAAAACCTCTTAGTATCCCAGTTAAGGAAATTTCTAGAAAATTAAGAGTGAAGTGAATATAGAAATAATATATAAAAGAGGAAATTTTAACTTTTGGTGCCCTTGTAAATTAGAAAAAGCTCCCTGAATGTTGAGTTTGAAAAGATCTATTACTGATGCAACATCCATCTGGTTTGATCAGTCGTCAATTTGCAATTTAAAAAAAATTCAACTTTCCAACTTTTCCTGTCTTTTTTTATATTCTACATCCAAGACATATACATTCCACTGTAAAAGTACCTTCTAGCATTTTTCCATTTTGCCTAAGTATTTATGGTCTTGTCCTGAGAAAACTATGACCTTAGCGCAGACCATCTGCTTTCCTTCTGCCACGCACTTCAACTTGTCACACAATGCTAATTTTTAAAAATTTTGATTCTCAATAAATGTTAGTTTAGAAAGATAGTTCATTAGAATGACTGTGTCCATGTATAAATAATTTTACTGAATTTTTTTTTTCAGATTGCAATGAAACAAGGCAATCGGCTCCAGATGAATGTCTATGAATTAAGAATTCCTTCAGACATGTCTCCAGGACTGGTCTTTGGGAGATCTGAAGAACTGTTTGTTCCAGACGTTAAAAAGAAGCCCCCAATTGCTCAAACTCTGATAAAAGACAAAGATACTAAAAGAAAGAATAAAAAACTACAGGTAGAAGTAAAAAGATGTGTTTCCAGGCATCTGGAACTATCCTGTCATATATATATATATATATATATATATATATATATATATATATATATATATATATATATATATGTAGGTCTTTAGTTATTCGGGTTTTCTCCCGCGTAGAATTAGAAGTGTCTTGGCGATGTTTCGACGAAGTCACATTCGTCATCTTCAGGCTGGTGTCTTCAGCTTCGTGCTTCTGGGTGTAGTGTGTGTGATCGCAGCTGTTTCTTCCTTTTAACTGCCAGTGGGGTTTGAGCTGATTGGGTGGGAGCTTGGCTGTGTTCTGATTGGTTAAGGAGCTTGGCTGTGCTCTGATTGGATGGGGGGTTGGCTGTGCTCTGATTGGATGGGGGAGTGTTCTGTTTGGGTGGGGGCTTTGTTGTGCTCAGGTTAGTTTGAGTGGCAGGAGGATTTGAGATGGTGAGCTTCATTGCTGTTGTTTGGCTTCGTGTTCGTGGTCGTGCCACATCTTTATGNGGTTTGCTTTTTGCGTGGATATGTGGTGGTGACATCCTGTGTGGTTTTCGTGAGTGTGGGTCTGGTGTCATTCTTTGTGTTAGGGATTCGTTTGCCAATAAGGGCGGGTTTCCAAATGGCTGGTAGGCGGGAGGTATCATCTCGTTTATTCATGCTGTGTGGGCGTTTTTCTATCTCGATGGCTTCTCTGATTATTCTGCCAAACAACAGCAATGAAGCTCACCATCTCAAATCCTCCTGCCGCTCAAACTAACTTGAGCACAACAAAGCCCCCACCCAAACAGAACACTCCCCCATCCAATCAGAGCACAGCCAACCCCCCATCCAATCAGAGCACAGCCAAGCTCCTTAACCAATCAGAACACACCTCCACCCAATCAGAACACAGCCAAGCTCCCACCCAATTAGCTCAAACCCCACTGGCAGTTAAAAGGAAGAAACAGCTGCGATCACACACACTACACCCAGAAGCACGAAGCTGAAGACACCAGCCTGAAGATGACGAATGTGACTTCGTCGAAATGTCGCCAAGACACTTCTAATTCTACGCAGGAGAAAATCCGGGTTAGTGTATTGAGCTTAAATCCATGGGGAAGACAATTATTGGTAACTATCTCAATGTTTCTATTTATACAAAAATAGAAAAATATAAGGTCTATAATGTTTTAATGTTGATGAAATGTTGTGGGTTCTCTGATATTATTCAAAACTGACTTTCACTTGTCCTAAAATTATTTTCAGATGCCTTATTTTCCCCCACATTTTATTGCTAATTGTGCTCATTATTATTGTTACTTTTTACAATTTATTTCATTTTTTATAAAATTCCTACAAAGCATTCAGAGGGGAATGTAGGTATTGAGTAGATTGCATGCTTTTTTTCTGAAGAAGTAAATGTTTTCCTGGTTTTTAAAATACATACCAATCTTCACATTTCAGACTTGTTTGAAAGCAGATTTGTTTCTTGCAAATTATTAATTGAATTCATTGCTTCCCCTTGAATATATCATATATTTTGCTAAAAGTTTTGAAGTAGTAAAAAGCTGAAAACATCATAAGCTATTTTCTAAAACCTCTAGCAAAATGTATTATCAAAATATTCAGCTGCATTTAATTAACCAGCCAGTAATCCATTATATGCATTCAAAGAGAGAATGTTGTTTAAATAATGCTGTGTTAAATAATGCTAAAAGATCCTCAGATTTTATGAACTCAACTAGTGTTCTTGGCTATTAGAAGTAGTGGCTTTTTAAATTTTGGGCTGACTGAACATAACTGGCAAACTTCTAAGCATCCCCTGGAATACCAAACAAAGGTTACATTCTGTTCTGCCAGAAGAATGACATTGTTATAAGCCTGGCCTTATTTTTAAGTAAAAAACAAACAAACAAACAAACAATATGGCAAAGTCTGAAGAGTGCCTTTATTTATTTGCTCAGTTGCCAAGTTCAGTATCAATAGATATAAGAAAGTTGTATGTTAAGTTTTGCTGCTATGTTCTTTTTTAAATCTCTCTAGAGTGAGCGCCTTAGTGAGGTCCCTCCTGAGTGGTTCACAAGTTACTTGGAAAAGGTGAATGTGGTTTCTTTTCTATTTGTCTTGTTATGCAAGAGGCCTTGAGAAAAAGGCCTTGGGGTGATTCAAACAGAGTTGGAGAATAATATCTCTTTCTTTACAGGTAAAGAAAAGGATATTATTCCTCATGGATAGAGCTTCATACACAAATTGATATTTGATCCAAACTGGCTACACCCACATTTCATAGTTGATTTGATTTAAGAGGGCAGTTTTGTCCAACTTAGTGTAGTATGGTCAGGAGGTAGGAAAAACCAATGCATTCATATCTCATGGTTAGTGTGCGATAATTAAAGGCATGTAAGGGTGGTTGCCTTTTATACCCCAAATTATGTTAATGTGTATATTGTATGCAATGCTATTTTTGTGTAAATTAACTGTCCATTCTAGTGGAATGCATGCATGAATTCTGGGAATGGAAATCAGAACAACAAATGAAAAGCCAACAGCTCAGGATGCTTTTCTTTATCTCTGTCTTTCTTTTTGCAGTTCCGGGAGCAAATTGTTCAAGACACTGTTAAAATGCTTGAACAGAAGTTGAGTGACAAGCTGCTTCTTTCTAACCAGCTTCCAAGGTCCATGAACAATTCAAGACACCAAACTCCTGCAAGTTCCTTGGTGCAAGGCAATTCCTATGACTGGCTGCTCTCCTGTAACAATTGTCAAAAGCCCATAATGGGGATTCGCTACCAGTGCAGGTAGGACAGAGGTCAGGGGATTAAAATGCAAATTTGTATGGTTTTCCAGGAGGTTAGAAATGGGTATTCTGAGGTTTTCTAGTGACATTTGTTTGTGATGTATATAACAAAAATGGTCTAATCATAATGTAGCTAAAGTGAAAACATGGGATATCTCATGGAATCAAATATAAAGTTGGTGATATTTCTTGAATAGTTGGAAGAGTAATTTTCATATTCTTCCTCTCAATAAAATTTTTGCTTTAAAAATATTATATTTTGCCTGTAATCCATTTTCCTTCTTTAGCAAAAACAAAGAGAAATTGGGCAATAATATTGCATGATACTACATTTGCAAAAAGAGCAGTTCTCATTTGTAGTTGTGATTTATTTACTGAGAGTAATGCTGTCCAATCACATATAACTTGAGCAGTTTATATTTCATTAATATAGTAAATAGAGCTAAAGACACAATATGAAACACAGTAACATTTGATTTACTCAGCTGAACTTGTTCAGGAACTACCAGAATTTATGCAACCCCAAAGGCTCTCTGGAAAAAAAAGTTTTAAATACTTTCAGAAATATTAACCATTCTAATTTTTCTTCCCATTCTGATCTCTTATTACTTCCCTGCTTTGGCAAGAAGATTTGCTTACAGGAGTTTTCTAAGCTATAATTTATTTGCTGCTCCTCTCACTGATAAAGCAACTCTGGGAGACTTACAGACAATAAAAAGATAAATACCGAAATAACTAAAATTTCAAATACTATATAAAAATTTAGAACCAAGGAGATGGACAGCACAAGAATGAGATATTCTTTTATCTCATCAGTCTTCTCCAGCGATGCGTGTCCCTAACAAGGCCTCAAACCAACTGGCAAAACCAGATTTTTATATACTTCCAGAAGGGCAGAAGTGCGGGAGCTTAAAGGGCTGAGGCCATAGCAGAAAAGGCTTTTCTCCTTGACCCTGCCAGCTGGAAAATTTGTCCACACAAAATGTTCTGCAGATAAAAATAATTTTTTATTAACTCTTTTTTAAGCTTGTAAATCTATTCCCTATTCAGACCAGATTAGACCAGTCAATTGAGAAAATAAATCAAGGGTTTCATTTTCCTTACAGAAGCTTCACTGGCTCATGATTCTGTTTTTATATCTTCCCCTAAGATTTTATCCAAATACATTCTACTTATAAATAAACTGTGATATCTCAGTATATCAGCGCAACCAGGAAAGTTGGTTAGCAGATAACTTAAATAGTTAATAGAGGAAAGAGGTCAGTAATTCACCAGTTGCCTTTCTTATTTTCTCAGTGTTTGCCCAACCTATAACATCTGTGAATTGTGTGAGGCAGGATTATATTTCCATGACCCTAACCATGTCTTTCTAAAACTGCGGAGGCCCACCTGGCGCATTTCACACACACACAGTCTTGGACAGCTGTCATCTCCTCTTGCCACTTCAGAGCAAGTCAAGTAAGCACCAAACTTCCTTGTTTCCATTGTGAGCCCCCTTGAATTGTTTATATTTAGAGTGGTCATGATAATGAATATATAAACAGTGAAGAAAGTTCAAGGAGGATATCAACCTGGGAAATTCAACATCTGGTTTCTCTCCATGCCTTTCATCTCTAGTAGTTTAGCTCTACTGAAATGGCAAAGACTCCATCTTGGTATTGGACAAAATTAGATATCTGATTCAACTCTAGAGAGAAAAGAAGCAGAGGAACATTTTAGCAACAAGGGAATGCCCTGTTATTCAGGGAGGACTGGATGATGATTGAAGGTGCCCTACTGAAATGGACAAAGGCCAGAATTTATGATAAAGTAGGGCTTTGTTTTTGTTTTGGGGGTAGTAGAGGTGCATTTGTTTTACTTTGTTTTAAGCCTAGAAAAAAGCTTGCAGATTCCTAAAATGAATCTGCTGCTGAAAAGACAGCAACCAACAATAATATGGTTTTTAGATATCATGAAAAGGATGCTTGCTTATTGCCAGTGGGTCCTCTAACCATAGATTGTAAACTTAAAGCATTCACATTCAAGGGACCTTTCGGAAGTCATGCTAAGCTTGCATGAAGAGTTCTAGATTGTTACAGGGGGCTGTTAGGGATATGGAAAAAGGGAACTAGAATGGTTTCAACATTAGGAGCCTTTTGATTCCAGATATGTCATTTTGTTACTAGGAGATATCCAGCTTCACATGTTCTTTAATAGGGGAGAACCCTCCTCTAGCAAAATTAATACCTTATTTCTAATTGTTCAGATTCCAGAAGCAGATAGACAAGCATTTCCTGAAAGCAGAAAAGCAGCGTTTACGAGGAGAAAAGAAGCAGTGTAAAACTGAAGCACGGGAACTCAAGAAGCAGCTTAAATTGCATCAAAAGTTTAATCTATGGAACTCAGTTCATGCTTTTGACAACACTGCTGCAAAATCTGAGAGTCAACAATCCAGTACACTTCTGTAAGCAAGCTTGGACCTGGCTTATGTTTGGAAAGCACATTCTGCATACTCGATGTTGGCTTTTAATGGACTATGAACTCCTTTTCTAGCCAACTCATGATTTGTGCATTTCTAGTATTTTCAATACTTCCTACTTCTCTAAAAATATAGTTTTAAAAGATTACTAGACAAATTGTGATTCATTGGGTCATCATTTTGGAGATATTTCCTTAACAGAAAAGAAACAGAATGACCAAGAACAAAACTGTGGAAATGAGAATGACTTTGATTTCCTGCTGGCTTTAGCATACTAATTGCACTCCAGCAGCCAATGGTGGGGATCAGTGTGCCCAGCCTGTAGAGTGAACAAAAATAAAACACAAAGGCAGAAGACAACTTTGTATTTTCTCCTTCTGGATATCACAATGGATCTCAAATTTTGAACACATTCTGTAGGTTAGCTAGTTAAGGAACCTTGGTTCCAAAATGGTTCCCCTATAACGGTTTGCTTTGCCCAGTTAAAGTTTACAGGAATGTTAGTTAGAATGGTTAATGATCATGCAGATTTGGAATTGTATTGACTTGTCTCTGGTTTCCTCCATTTCACAGTTCTCTGCAGCAATGCCCAGTTGTCTCAACTCTGAGTGCCGCCTTTGTAGATGAGAATTTACCAGATGGAACTCGCCTCCCACCAAAGATTATCTTCATGAAGCATTGGCGTATGAGGAACACAGGCAACATGGCATGGAGCTCAGATACCAAGGTGTTTTTCAATGTTTAATTTGTAAAAATACATGCTAAAATCTAGATTGCCACAGAGCCTGCTCCCATTGCTCATCGCCTTTAGCCTTTTCTGCATCAACATTGGGAAGGTACTTTGAAAGTGCAATAGTACTTTGTTGCATGTTTTGGACTGAGTCCTGCTATTATTTTGTTTTCTACTATTCCAGTAAATAATGGATCTCAGGAATGTAAATTTGCTTATTTATGAAAGATTTATTTTAAACTCTCAACTACCCAATTTGGAGTTTTGGCTACACTGTTCAAAACAAAAGCTATGGTTCTGTGCTGCTTTTGTTGCTGAGTAGATGGGAACTGAAGGATTCATTTTAATGAATCAGATGCTCAGATTGCAGAACTGTATACATTCAATCAGTGAATTGTGAATTGTCTCTTGTTATTAGTCTGTTTCATCATCACTTGTCTCCAAGATTATCTAATAATTTTCTCTCTGCAGCCCTAGGATTCCTGAGAAGTGGGCTTTTATGTTATAGTCTCAGATACTTAGATGCAGGATTCTGATTCTTCTTCATAGTAATTTTTCTTTGGATTGTGTGTAGTGCCTGAGAGCCACAGAACGAAGCTCAACTCTGAATGGAAGTTCGAATCTCTGTTTACCAACATTTACTTAATGAAGGTCTTATAGGACATAAGGCCTAAAAACATTGATTCATGACCAATCTGGGAAGCTTGCATGTTTGGGTGTTACAATAAAATAATGTTTTTCTTTTCTGTTCATATTTCAGCTAAAATTCATGTGGGGAAACATAACTCTGGTGTCTTCTGGAAAAAAAGATGTGATTGTGCCTTCCCTACTTCCTGGGAAAGAGGGGGTTGTTTCAGTGGAGTTTGAAGCCCCACCAATGGAAGGAACCTATACATCGCACTGGAGGTTATCACATAGAGGGGAGCAATTTGGACCCCGGATCTGGTGCAGTATTGTGGTTGACTCTTCTTCCAAAACTATTTGTCCTGACCATGGCAAATTGATGCCTAGTGTTTGCCAGAATAGTAGATCTCTTTACAAAGAAGAGGTAAGGCCCTCATACATTTGGGTGTATTTAAGACTGGTTTTTTCCTCTCAATATTTTTTTCTCCACATATCCCATTTTGTAATTCTATTACATCTCTGCCTTCTCTTTTTTTGTCTTTTGTTTGTATTGCCTCCACTCAGTGGCTCCTCTTCTTTAATGTGCATATTTATTTATTTATTTTATTTTATTTATTTATTTCATTTATACCCCGCCCTTCTCCCGGAGGACTCAGGGCGGCTTACAGCCAGTTTAAAACAATCCCACATAAATACCAAATACAATCTAAAATAATTAAAAATAAATATTTGAATTGGCCGCTCTATTAAAATTTTGTTAAAACCAATTAAAATACCCCCTAGGCCAGTCCTGCCTGCTGAAACAGCCAAGTCTTGAGGGTGCGGCGGAAGGAGGGGAGATCCGGAATCACCCGGATCTCTGGGGGCAGCTCGTTCCAGAGGGTGGGCGCTCCGACAGAGAA